AAGTTAGCATTTAGATTAACTGAGATTACTTGTGCAATTTATGAATGCTACTTAAAAAATCAACTTTTGTATTGGCTTAAATTTCCTCCAACCTTTACTTTTTTTTTTTTAATCTTTTTGAGACAGGGTCTCCTTGTAGCCCCAGCTGTCCTGGAACTCACTATGTAGACCAGGCTGGCCTTGAAATCACAAAGATCCTCCTTCCTCTGCCTCCTGAGTGCTCTGATTAAAGGTGAGCGCCACCACGCCCAGCCTCCATCAACATTTTTGAACACATTTACAAATTTAACATTTTTATTTTCTTTGTACATACATTTCAAATTCTTAGAAGGGCAAGTTCACAACCTTAACAGGCAAAACGTTTCTAAGTTTTAAAACCACATTCTGAACTAAACATACTACTCTCAGGCACAGTAAATTCATTCATTTTAAACCCTCCAGTACTGATGGTCCCATTCTCGTAAATTCTCCTACCTAAAGTTAATAATGGGTTTCACGGGGCAGGAGTGATGGTTCATGGTTAAGAGCACTGGCTGCTCTTGCAGAGGATGCAGGTTTGATTCCCAGCACCCACATGACAGCTAATAGCTGTCTGTAACTCTATTTCCAGGGAATCTGAAACCCTCTTCTGATCTCTGAGGGTATTGCATGACACAGGTGCACTTACACACAGACAGGCAATATACTCATACACATAGAATAAAAATAAATATTTTTTTTAAAAAAGGAGGTGCTGTGTGAGCCTGTAGCCGTCAACCATCACAGCAGCTGAACTGCTGGGTACATGCTTCATTCTTAGTTCCATTTATTTGGAATATCTTTTTCCATCCTTTACTCTAAGGTGGTATTGATCGTTGATGCTGAGGTGTGTTTCTTGGAGGTAGCAAAAAGATGAATACTGTTTTCTAATCCAATCAGTCAATGTCTTTTTATTGGGGAACTGAGAACATCAATTGTAGGTTGAGAGTTATTACTAACCAATAACCAATATTGATTGATATCTGTTATTTTGTTGTAGTGGTGTTATTTCTTTTTGGCCTCTTTTGGTTAACTGTTCTTTTTTTTTTTTTTTTTTTTTTTTTTTTTTTGTTTTTTTCTTTTTTTTTTTTTGAGACAGGGTCTCCCTGTAGCCCCAGCTGTCCTGGAACTCACTATGTAGACCAGGCTGGCCTCGAACAGAGATCTGTCTGCCTCTGCCTCTCGAGTGCTGGGATTAAAGGCGTGAGCCATCACGCCTGGCTTTTTTTTTTTTTAAGATTTATTTTATTTTATTTTAATGTGTATGCGAGTATTGCTTGCATGTAGGTAAGTGCACCCATGTCGTGCAATGCCCACGGAGGACAGAAGAGGCTGTCAGATCCCCTGGGACTGGAGTTGTGGACAGTTGTTAGCTGCCATGTGGGTGCTGGGATTCAAACCCAGGTCTTCTGCAAGAACAACCAGTGTTCTTAACTGCTGAGCCATCTCTCCATCCCTGGTTAACTATTCTTGAATTGTTTTATTTATTCCTTGTTCCCTCTTGGGTATTTTAATCTTCTCTTCAGAGGGAAATAATCCTTCTAATATCCTCTGTAGAGCTGGCTTAGCCCTAGATCTGTTTTTATCATGGAAAAAAATTGTTTTCTCCTTCTACTACAGTTTTCTGGGTATATTAGCCTGGGTTGGTATTTGTGGTCTTTAAGATTTTGTAGAACATTAGTCTATGATCGCCTGACTTTCAGTATCTCCATTGAAAAGTCAAGTTTTATTCTGATAGGCCTTGCTTTAAATGTGATTTGGTCTTTCTGTCTTATAGCTTTCAATTTCCTTTCTTTGTTCAGTATATTTAGTGTTTTGGTTATTATGCAAGGTGGGGAGTTTCTTTTCTATTTGGTGTTCTTTATGCTTGATAAGCATCCCTTTCCTTAGATTTGGGAAGTTTTCTTCAATGATTTTGTTGAAAATATTTTTTGTGCCTTTGACCTGGGTTTCTTTACCTTCTTCTGTGCCTATGATTCATAGGTTTGGTCTTTTTTATAGTATTCCAGAGTTCCTGCACATTCTGCATTCTGTTCTTGGGTTGTTTTTTTAATATTTTATTTATTATTTTTTATTTTATGTGTATGTATATATTGCTTGCATGTAGGTAAGTGCACCCGTGTTGTGCAGTGCCTGCGGAGGAAAGAAGAGGCTGTCGGATCCCCTGGAACTGGAGTTATGGACAGTTGTTAGCTGCCATGTGGGTGCTGGGATTTGAACCCGGGTCTTCTGCAAGAACAGTTAACTGCTGAGCCATCTCTCCAGGCCCTGTTTTTTTTTTTTTTTAAGATTTAACATTTCCTTTGACTGAATGATCCAATTTCTCTGCCTTGTCTGCAAGGTTTGATATTACCCCTTCTACTTAGTTTGTTCTATTGGTGAGGGTTTTCACTGAGATTTTGTTGTTTTAGAGACAGAGTTTCACTTTGTATCACTGCAACTCACTGTGTAGACCTGGCTGGCCTCCAACTCACAGAGATTTGCCTGCCTCTGCCTCCTGAGTGCTGGGATTAAAGGCATGTACCACCATGCCCAGTGTCACTGAGTTTTTTTTTAATTTTACTGATTGAGTTTCCCATTTCAAGTTTTATTTGTTTCACTTTTCTTGAGAAATTCTATTTCTTTATTAATTTTTTTTCATATCTTGAATTCTTTTTTCCATTCAGCTGTTTGTTTTCTGGGTCTTCATTCTGGAATTTATGTATGTCTTCTTGGAGTTCACTGAACATATTCATAATCGCTATTTTGAAATCATTGCCTCGTGCTCTTCTCAGGGGACATTGTGGTAGGTGTACTGGTTTTTTTTTTTTTTTTTTTTTTTTGGTTTTTTTGAGACAGGGACTCCCTGTAGCCCCAGCTGTCCTGGAACTCACTATGTAGACCAGGCTGGCCTTGAACTCACAGAGATCTGCCTGCCTCTGCCTCCCAGTGCTGGACCTAGGCATCTGGAGTTAGGTTGCTGGTGTTTTCTGGTATGTTGAGCAGGTGTTTGGATCTTTGTTTGCTGTTATCTCAATGTGTCAGATTGTAGACCAGCTGCATAATGTTTGGTGTTCAGTCTTGTGGTAAAGAGATGTGAGAATGGGGTGTCAGACGTGTTCCCTGCATAACTGGGCATATGCACACTTTTAAGTCTAGGAGCAAACTTTTTGTAGTTAGTAGATTCTTACTGCCAATCTTCAGAAATCCCTGGAAGGCTGATACAGTTCTACATCTCACCATGAAAGTGAGCAATGCTCCCTGGGGGCCAGGAGGAGGATGTCACAACATCAGATGGAGGTAGGTGGGGTGAAGCCTGGGTTGGAGGTCTCTAACTAGGTTTGAGGTCTCAGGACTCCTTGTAGTCTTAGGCAGCATGGTGGGTGGAATGGTTGAGGGAGAAGCAGTTTCTGGGTGTTGCATCTGGATAGGGGAAGGTTTTTGGGAGTGCCTGTGGCATGTTGAAGGTAACAGGGAGCCACCACATGCTCCTGGAGATGGCATGGAACTGGCCTCTGGGTTTTGGGGTGATGGCAGGGGGCTGAGGCTGCTTACCTGGGTTTCTGGGACATATGGGATGACTGGAGAATCCCTGGTGTGCAGCAGACTGGTGTCAAGTGAATCCCAAAGGGAAGAAGGTGGGTTAGGAAGAGGTGGGGAATCTCTGGCAGAAGATGGCAGGGGGGCTTTGGGGTGATGGAAGGGGGCAGGGACAGCTTACCTGGGTCTCAGGGTCACATGGGGCAACTGGAGAATCTCTGGTGGGCAGCTGGCTAGGGGCTGGCTGGTGAATCACAAAGGGCTCTTTTATAATTTTTTTTGTCTTTTTGAGACAGGGTCTCCCTGTAGCCCCAGCTGGCCTGGAACTTGCTATGTAGACCAGGCTGGCCTTGAACTCACAAAGATCTGCCTGCCTCTGTGCCGGTGCCAGCCAGCCAAGACGGACAGTACCTGAAAGGGGGAGTGAGGATTGAAAGAAAAAACAAGAGACAGAGAAAAAGATACTTGGGAGGACTGTCAGTAGAGACTGCAGCCCTGGTTTATTTTAGCTCTGGCTTTTTATACAGGAGAACATCAGAGATCTTAACTCAATTAATTTCAACAGCTGTTTTTCCTACCTGTATCTGAGGGTCAAGGAGCGGTCAAATACTTGTTGTGA